TTGAATCCCCTTGATCCCCTTATGTTGTCGTATTGCTGTTGCTAGAACTTCTAGCACTATATTGAAGAGGTATGGGGAGAGTGGACAGCCTTGTCTTGTTCCTGATTTCAATGGAATGGCTTTGAGTTTCTCTCCGTTCAGTTTGATGTTAGCTGTCGGCTTGCTGTAAATAGCTTTTATTATATTTAGGTATGATCCTTGTATCCCCAATCTCTCCAACACCTTTTTCATAAAGGGATGTTGGATTTTGTTAAACGCTTTTTCAGCATCTAATGAGATGATCATATGTTTTTTTTCTTTCAGTTTATTTATATGATGGATTACATTGATGGATTTGCGTATGTTGAACCAGCCCTGCATCTCTGGAATGAAGCCTACTTGATCATAATGGATAATTTTTCTAATGTGTTCTTGGAATCGGTTTGCCAGGATTTTGTTGAGAATTTTTGCGTCAATGTTCATGAGTGAGATTGGCCTGTAATTCTCTTTCTTGGTTGTGTCTTTATGTGGTTTTGGTATTAGGGTAACTGTAGCTTCATAAAAAGAGTTTGACAATGACTCTTCTGTTTCTATATTGTGAAATACCTTAAGGAGTATAGGTATCAGCTCTTCTTGAAAGTTCTGGTAGAATTCTGCATTGAAACAATCTGGCCCTGGGCTTTTTTTGGTTGGGAGGTTTTTGATAACCACTTCTAATTCTTCGTGACTAACAGGTCTATTTAGATTGTTCATCTGGTCTTGATTTAACTTTGGTATATGGTATTTATCTAAAAACCAATCCATTTCTCATACATTTTCCAACTTTGTGGCATATAAACTTTCGTAGTAAGATCTAATGATTCTCTGAATTTCCTCTATGTTTGTTGTTATGTCCCCCTTTTCATTTCTGATCTTATTAATTTGGGTGTTCTCTCTCTCTGCCGTTTGATTAGTTTGGCTAGGGATTTGTCAATCTTGTTGATTTTCTCCAAGAACCAACTTTTTGTTTCGTTGATTTTTTGGATTGTTTTCTGTGTTTCTGTTTTGTTGATTTCAGCCCTCAGTTTGATTATTTCCAATCTTCTACTCCTCCTGGGAGAGTCTGCTTCTATTTTTTTCCAGAGCTTTGAGGTGTGCTGTTAAGTCTCCAATATGTGCTTTCTCCGTTTTCTTTAATTGGGCACTTAGTGCTATGAACTTTCCTCTTAGCACTACTTTCATTGTGTCCCATAGATTTGAGTATGTTGTGTCTTTATTTTCATTAAATTCAAGGAAGACTTTAACTTCTTTTTTTATTTCTTCCTTGACCCAGGGATGATTCAGTAGTTGACTGTTCAACTTCCACACATTTGTAGACTTTCTGGTGTTAGAATTGTTATTGAATCTAACTTTATTCCGTGGTGATCCGACAAGACACAGGTGGTTACTAATATTTTTTCGTATCTGTGGAAGTTTGCTTTGTTACTGAGTATGTGGTCAATTTTTGAGAAGGTTCCATGAGCTGCAGAGAAGAAGGTATATTCTTTCCTTTTTGGGTGGAATGTTCTATAGATATCTGTTAAGTCCATTTGATTCATTACCTCTAGTAATTCTCTTATTTCTCTGTTGAGTTTCTGTTTGATTGACCTGTCCATTGGTGAGAGAGGTGTGTTGAAGTCTCCTATTATTAGTGTGTGTGGTTTGATGACTGCCTTGAGTTCTAAAAGTTTTTCTTTTACATAAATGGGTGCTTTTATATTAGGGGCATAGATATTCAGGATTGAGACTTCCTCCTGATTAATTGTTCCTGTTATGAGTATAAAATGTCCATCTCCATCTTTTCTGATTGATTTTAGTTTGAAGTCAGTTTTGTTAGATATTAGAGTGGCCACGTCCACTTGTTTCTTAGGTCCGTTTGCTTGGAAAACCTTATCCCAACCCTTTACTCTGAGTAGATGTCTGTCTTTGTGGTTGAGGTGTGTTTCTTGTAAACAGCAGAATGTTGGATCCTGTTTTCGTATCCAATCTCTTAGTCTGTGCCTTTTTATAGGTGAATTGAGACCATTAATATTAAGTGATATTAATGACCAGTGGTTGTTGATTCCGGTTATTATTATTTTTTTTGTGTGTGTGTAGTAGAGTTTGTGTGTTTTTCTTCTTTGAGTTGTGGTTGTGAAGGGTCGCTAAATGTCTGGGTTATTGTAGGCAGTGATGGCAATGTTGGATTCCTTGGGTTGCGATTTTCCTTCTATTACTTTCTGTAAGGCTGGATTTGTGGCTATGAATTGTTTAAATTTATTTTTATCCTGGAATATTTTGTTTTCTCCGTTGATAGTGAACGATAGCTTGGCTGGGTATAGTAGTCTGGATTTGCATCCATGGTCTCTTAGTTTCTGCAGTACCTCTATCCAGGATCTTCTGGCTTTCATGGTTTCCATAGAGAAGTCCGGTGTAAGCCTAATAGGTTTACCTTTATACATTACTTGATCTTTTTCCTTTGCAGCTCTTAAAATTCTTTCTTTAATCTGTATGTTTTGTGTTTTGATTATTATATGGTCTATTCGGTGTTCTGTATGCTTCTTGAACCTTCATAGGAATATTGTTCTTTAGGTTGGGAAAGTTTTCTTCTATAATTTTGTTGAATATATTTTCTGGTCCTTTGATCTGCAGTTCTTCTCCTTCTTCAATCCCTATTATTCTTAGATTTGGATTTTTTATTGTGTCTCAGATTTCCTGAATGTTTTGTGAAGAGAATTTGTTGGATTTGCTGTTTTCTTTGACCAGAGCATTTATTTTCTCTATGGTATCTTCAGAATCTGAGATTCGTTCTTCTATCTCTTGTATTCTATTGGTTATGCTTGATTCTGTAGTCTCCGTTCGTTTACCTAGGTTTTCCATATCCAGCCGGTTCTCAGTTTGCGTTTTCTTCATTGCCTCCATTTCAGTTTTCAATTTTTGAACTGTTTCCTTTACCTGTTTGATTGTTTTTTCTTGGTTTCTCTGGGTATCATTCACGGATTTACTTATTTCTTCAAACTTTTTGTTATATTTCTCATCTATTTCTATACTCATTTCTTCAAACTTTTTGTTATATTTCTCATCCAATTCTTTAAGGGAGTTAATCATATCCTGTTTAAGGGACTCTATTGCTTTCATAATGGCACTTTTTCCCACTTCTTCTGGGTTAAGGTGTTCAAGTCCTTCTATTGTAGGGTCCTTGGGATCTGGTGTTTTCATATTGTTTTTCAGATTGTTGGATGAGGTCTTGCCTTGGCGTCTACCCATCTCTTACTTCAAATGCTCTCTATTGGAACTTCTAGTATCGGGTCAGGCTCCCTTCTTGGTCAGGGACTTCACTGACAGAATGCCCACCTTTCCTCAGGCAGGTTATTGAAGCACAGGCACTCCCTCTTTCCGAGATGCGCTTACAATGCAGGCCCAGCTTGCAAGGCAGGTGAGCTGGGGAAATTTTATGGCCCCAGGGGGAAGGGAGAAATATAGGAATTCGTACCTGGATGGGAGCTGGGATGGCAGGCGGGAGTGGGGAGCCAGCACTGCAGGGTGACCTGGGCGTCTATGGGGTAGGGGAACGCCCGAGCTCCTCCTCACGGGGACCCTCTACTCCAAATTTTTTATATCTTTGAGGTTTGCTTTGTAACAGAGTTTGTGGTCAATTTTGGAGAAAGTTCTGTGAGGTGATGAGAAGAAGTATGTTCTTTTGTGTTTGGGTGAAATGTTCTATATGTCTATTAAGTCCATTTGAGTTATGACATCTGTTAGTTCTCTTATTTCTCTGTTAAGATTCTGTCTGGCAGCTTGGGCACCCGGGGAAGTAGAAGCACCGGGCCTTGCTGGGGGGGGGAGGGGTAGAGCCACAGATGCCGGGACAGGGACCGCCGCTGCCGCCACCATGAGCGATCAGCAGCTGGACTGTGCCTTGGACCTAATGAGGCGCCAGCCTCCACAGCAGATCTAGAAAAACCTCAGTGACCTGATCGACCTGGTCCCCAGTCTGTGTGAAGATCTCCTGTCGCCAGAGACAAGGAGGTGGGCAAGGACTACCTTTTATGCGACTACAACAGAGACGGGGATTCCTGTAGGTCACCATGGAGTGACAAGTATGATCCTCCTTTGGAAGATGGGGCCATGCCATCTGCTCGACTGAGAAAGCTGGAGGTGGAGGCCAACAATGCCTTCGACCAATACGGAGACCTGTATTTTGAAGGTGACGTCTCATCTATCTACGTCTGGGATCTGGATCACGGCTTCGCTGGAGTGATCCTCATAAAGAAGGCTGGAGACAGGTCAAAGAAGATCAAAGGCGGCTGGGATTCCATCCATGTGGTGGACGTACAGGAGAAGTCCAGCGGCCGTACCGCCCATTACAAGTTGACCTCCACGGTGATACTGTGGCTGCAAACCAACAAATCCGGCTTAGGCACCATGAACCTGGGAGGCAGGCTGACCAGACAGACGGAGAAAGATGAAACCGTGAGTGACTGCTCTCCACACATAGCCAACATTGGGCGCCTGGTGGAGGACATGGAAAATAAAATCAGAAGTACACTGAATGAGATCTACTTTGGAAAAACAAAGGATATCGTCAATGGCCTGAGGTCTGTGCAGATGTTTGCACACAAATCAAAGCAAGAAGCTCTCAAGAACGACCTGGTGGAGGCCTTGAAGAGAAAGCAGCAGTGTTAAACCTCTGCTTCACGCTAACCGGACACGTCATGCACTCATTAGGGTCCTTTCTTAGAAAACTCGTTTTCTGCTCCTTTTCTCTCCTCCTTTCCCTCCCCAATGGGCCACGTAACAGTTTGCATCGACCATGCAGCGCCATCGCTCCCCAAGAATAACTACCCTCCGCTGGCTCCAAGGCCCGCTTCCCACGACGTTTCCATAGAGACCGTGTGGCTTTTGTTCGCCTGTGCCCCCCGCCTCCCCCCCCCCCCGTCTTCCTCCCCTCTCCCATTTATAAGCATATGTACTGTCAGCCACCGCTCCTCCCATCATTTTGTTGCATTGGTGTAAAAAATGTAAAACAAAAACATTTTATGAACTAACCGGTGTGTGAAAGAGAAGAACTGGAAATCGGATTCCATGTGTATTTGGGAGTTGCTTGGAGTTGGGTTGGGGGCCAGGGGAACAGCGGACAGCTACGGAGGATGGAGAGATGTCCTCAGCATTGTCCTGCGCAGAGGTGCCCACCCAAGGAGACCACAGTGGGGTGACAGCTGGCGACCACCTGCACTTCCGGCCAGGTGCTTTCCTGTCGATTTTTATGGAATGCAAAAGGAGTTTTTTGTTTTATTTTGGTTTTTCTGTAAAGCTTAAACAAAAAAATCTACATCTTCTACTTGAGCCTCCATACTTAAAAAAAAAAAGGAAAAAAAAACAAAAAAATAAAAAGAAACTGGGACACACACACACACAAAAGATTCTGTCTGGCAGACCTGTTCATTGGTGAGAGTGGGGTGTTGAAGTTTTCTACCATTAGTGTGTGGTGTTTAATGTGTAGTTTAAGCTTTAGCAATGTTTCTTTTACATATGTTGGTGCTCTTATATTTGTGGATAGATGTTCAGAATTGAGACTTCATGTTAATAGAGCTTTCTTGTGATGAATACGAAGTGTCCCTTTCCATCTCTTTTGATTAATTTTAGTTTGAAGTCTATTTTGTTAGATTTTTAAAATAGCTACACCTTATAATTTCTTAGTTCCATTTGATTGGAATATCTTTTTCCAACCCTTTACTCTGAGGGGATGTCTGTCTTTGAAGTTGAGGTGTGTTTCTTGTATGCAGCAGAAGGATGGATCCTCTTTTTGTATTCATTTTGTTAATCTGTGTCTTTTGATAGGTGAATTGAGAGTTATTAATGACCAGTGATTGTTAATTCCTGATATTTTTCAGTGGTAACACTTGTGTGGTTTTTTTTAGGGGTAGTCAGTGCCAAGGTTCTTGTGATCACAGATGCTTCAGGGGATGGTTGCAGATGTGGGTAGGCTGCTTCCAGGACTCTGGGGCTTTTCTGAATGAATACGGAGCACAGAATGCATCTCAGGGGGCCTAGGGTCTAAAGAACAGGGTCCGCCAGCCAGGAACGTAAACATTCACCTCTCCAGGGGCAGTCAGGCCAATGCTCTGGTAGTTAGAGTTGTGATGCACTAAGGGATGTTTGAGGGTATGGGGAGGCTACTCCCAGGTCTCTGGGTCTTTGCCAGGTGAGGTTGTGGTATGGAATGTGCCTGACAGACCTAGGGTCTAGAGAGTAGGGCCCTTTAACTGGGAACCCTGACACCCAGCACTCCAGGGGCAGTCAGAGTCAGGACTCTGGTGGTCAGAGATGTGGTGCAAGGTGGTTGTGGGTATGAGGAGGCTGTTCCCAGGTATCTGAGTCTTCTGTGGGTGGGAGTGGGGCATGGATGTGTATCCAGGGTCAGGATCTAGAGAGGAGGCCCCTCAAGTAGGGAACACAGACACTCACCTGTCCTAAATCATATATCTTGATCCTGTGATGCTATTCATTTCCCCATCCCTTCTCATCAACTCTTTGCTCATGCAATCACCCCAATAAAACATTTTTTAAGGGAAAAAAGGAAAGAGGAAATAAAATAAATTATAAGATGATATGGGATTCCCCTCTGTATGCTGTGAATACATGCTGTTAATAAAAAAGATGTTTTGGGCCTGTGATAAGGTAGAGCAGAGCTAGGTGGGGAAAACTAAACTGAATGCTGGGAGAAAGAAGACAGTCAGAGAGAAGCCATGTAGCTCCGCTGGAGAGAGATGCTGGATGGAACCTTGCTGGTAAGCCACAGCCACATGGCAATACACAGATGAATAGAAATGGGTTAATTTAAGATATAAGAATTAGCCAGAAATACATGTAAGCCAAACAGTATTGCAAATAATATGGTTTCTGAGTGATTATTTCAGGTCTGGGAAGCTGAGAATAAGCAAGTGGGCTTTTACAACAAATTGATGCTCCAATATGTGCTAGTTAAATCCATATAAAACCTGAGAGGGTTTCGAAAGGAATTCTAGACACACACACACACACACACACACACACACACACACACACACACACACAGAAGGAGCTGCTTTTTGTCCTGCCCAGTACCACATGGCTAGCTTAGTCCCAGAAATAACAACACACAAATTGTATTCATTTAAACACTGCCTGGCCCATTATCTCTAGAGAGTGAGTTACTGGCTAACTCTCATATCTTGATTAACCCATTTCTAATAATCTGTGTAGCACCACGAGGTGGTGGCTTACCGGGAAAGATTCAGCATGTCTGACCTGGTGGCTGGCTCCATGGCATCTGCCTCATCGTCCTCTTCTCAGCATTCTGTTCTGCTTACTCTGCCTACCTAACTTTCTGTCCTATCAGAGGGCCAAGGCAGTCTCTTTATTAGCCAATGAAAATAACACATAGACAGAAAGCCCACCTACATCACACATACACAATTTAGCAGCATTTATTTCTGGATGGTCTCTACTTGCTGGTGGCATGTTACAGCTCCTTTAAGAGAGGTCTTCCTGATTTGGCAGTAGCAAAACCAAAACAAAACAAAATATCATATGGTTTCAAAATGGTGACTTTCTGATCTGTGCTGCGAGCATGAACTCTGGCTCTTTTAGGAGGCTGAGCACTTGAATGGGATTATGTGCAGTATGCTGCAAATTACTTGGTGGTAGAATGGAGCAACTGGTTACCAGAATTGAGGTGGTGAGTGTGGCTCCCACCGGTCAGTCTCAGAGGCAGTGAATAGACCTCCATGTTGGACTGGGTGAAGCAAGCAGGCAGGGACATGTTGGCCCTAGCCACACCTGCTTAGTATTTTAAGAAGCAATCCTAGTCAAAAAAGGATTATAGGTACACAATAAAGACAGATTTAGATAAAAAAGACCTCTAAAATGGGTCACAGTGTTGGATAAATGTACATAGGCTTGGGAGAGAGAAGAAAAAGAATATAGAGAGTTATAAAATGAAGTAAATCTTTTTTCCCAAAGAAATAGTCTTTAAAGAAACATAGTGTACAGAGTCATAGATTAAAAGGAGTAAAGAAAGGTAAAGATGGAAAATACACAGTTTGGATTATATATATTGTGTTTTCTTTGAAATTTTGACTGTGAAGGAGCTAAGTACAGAGAGACATTTCACTGTATGAGATGCTAAGCTAAACCAACATACATGTTTCAAAGGTTTCTTGACTTCAAAATTTGAGTCTAAGGATATTTTGCTTTGGAAAAGAGGTTCTTCTGTTTCCACAGAGGATGAGAACCTGTGGATTAATTCCAGACTAATGTGGTTTGATGAACCAAGATCCCCTGAAAGGTTGCTTCACCCAACAAAAAGCAGGAAACAGTTTGGAGAGAACTATGTTCATATTCCCAAATACTGTTTATAAATATTTGTTTACAATTAAAGGGGGATATGCTATAGAGATTTGCATTGGTATGGAACTTAGTCTATTGATACAAATTTTAGGTCAGTTATGTTATATGTATATTTCTGCTCTTGATTAAGGTATTGTGTTTGTGCAACTCATTTAAAAATGTAATGTAAAAAATAAGAAAAGTGTAATATATAATTAAGAAATATAGGTTAATAGATATTCATCTATAATAGTCAAGTATATAGTCATGTTAGGTTTTCTAGATATATTGAGATATATTTCAGTTAGATAGTTTTTCTTCAAATCTCTCAGAGATCTTCTGAATGTGGAATTTAGAATGTTTTCATGACAATGAGACACATCTGCTCCTGGCAGCACCAACAACTTCAAGAGGAGGATGGACACTGAAGAGGCTTCTTATGGAACTTGCTAACCATTTGGGTAAGAAACTGTTCTTGCCTGGACTGCTTGGATGTTATGCTGTATAAAGTGGACATGCTGGACCCACAGAAAAATGGTTGCTGAACTTGCCTAAAGGTGAGACTGTCTTTTGGGGTTTCTGCTCCATGAAAGAGTCTGCCAGATCTCCAGGACACAGAAGAAAGCAACTGATGGACTCTGCCATTACAAAACAGAACAAATCTTCAAATTTTCTGCTTCATGAAAAAGTCTGCTGGATACTATGGGCCTATGGGCTGAAGACTGGATGTCCCAATGATACAGAACAACTTTGGTGACTATCCATGTAGGGAGATGTCTCTTTCAATTCTAGTTTTGGAATTTGCTTACAATACACATCCTGTTAACTTAGGTAATAGTATATCCTTCTGGTTCTTTGAAGAATAGATAGCTCTAATTATAGTTTTCCTTAGTTATGATAAAAGATAAAGTAGATATAAATATTGTAACTGTAATTCTTGCTTGGTACCTGCTTTTTTATAGTTGAAATCTTCCTTTTTATTTAGACAGAAAAGGGAAGATGATGTGGGATTCCTCTCTGTAGGCTGTCAATACCATTGGTTAATCAAGAAGCTGTTCTGGGCCTGTGATAGGGCAGAATCGAGCTAGGTGGGGAAAACTAAACTGAATGCTTGCAAAAAGAAGACAGAATCAGAGAGAAGCTATGTAGTCCCACCACAGAGAGACACCAGATGAAAACTTGCCGGTAAGCCACAGCCATGTTGCAATACACAGATGAATAGAAATGGGTTAATTTAAGTTGTAAGAATTAGCGAGAAATACATGTAAGCTATTGGCCAAACAGTATTGCAAATAAAATGGCTTCTGAGTGATTATTTCAGGCCTGGGCAGCTGGGAATGAACAAACGGCCTCCAA